AGTCACTTTGGCCTTAGTTTTCTCATCTGTAAAATGGGGGTGATAATACAGCCGATCTCATAGGTTTGTGGTGGGGTTACAGGGAATTCCTAGTCTTGGAAGTACTTGTCCTCCACTTCAGCCCCTGGGTCGGATGCCCCGGGAGCAGTTCTTAACCAGATGGGGAAGGACAGGTGTGCTGCTCCTTCGGCAGAGGGTCTTGTTTGAAAAGGAAGTGGTTCTTGGCTGCAACGCTCAGCAGCAGTGACTCCCCACTGAATCATGGGGTGGCTCAGTAGCTGGTGGGTGTTCTGGGCCCTGGGCCCCTTCTTCTCCTTCCTCCTCCCCTTGCCCATCAGATTCCATGACAAGGACAGCTCTGCAGTCCATCTGTTTCTATGGAAACCAGGCTTCCTGGGAAGTCCTGTGGGGAGGGGGTGGCATTGGGAGAGGTCCTCTAGGATGGGCGTGAAAGTGATGGCCGGCCCCATCCGCTCAGCTGCCAGGGCTGGGCCTAGGCAGCCCCAGGTAATCTTACTAATTGCTGTCCTGTCCTTTACATAGCACATGCCGGGTGCCTGGCCCCTCCACTGCCTTTTCTCAGTATGGCTCATCACAGCCCTGTGAGGTAAGAAGTAGCAGTGTGGTTTCACAAAGGAGGAAATAGAGGCTCAGAGAGGTTAAGAAACTTTTCTGAGGTCAGAGCACAATTAAGACAAAGCACTGGGGTTCGAGTCCAAGTCCACCAATCATTAAGTATATGCCCCTCCACCCCACTGTGCCATCTGCCTCTGACGTTTTCACCCCTGATGAGCTCCTTCCTTCCTGCCTGGTTCGGTCTCTGTGGGCTTTGCTTGGCCTCTACCCAGTCCCGGGCCCTGTATCTTGCTGCCGTTGGGAGCTCTTTAGGGGTGTTCCTTCCTAGCCTCTGATGTCACAGCACATGAGGAAGGGGGAAGGGGCTGCAGGGAGTCACACCTTGGCCAGCAAGGGGTCTCTCAGCCCCCTCTCAGCTCATTTATTTGTCACAAATATTTGTTGAGTTCAAGTGCCAGAAACTGTCTCAGATCCTGTAGACAGAAACCCTGCCCCTTGGTGCTCACCTGCCTCAGTTCTCTGAGACAGTGGGGGCACGACCTCACCCTGCATTCTCACCTAGTCCTCTAACCCAGCGGTCCCCAACCTTTTTGTCCCAAGGGACCGGAGCTCCTATGAGAATCTGATGGTCTGAGGTGGAGCTGAGGCGGTGATGCTAGGGCTGGGGAGCGGCTGCAAATACAGCTGAAGGTTCGCTTTCCTGCCCACTGCTCACCTGTGTGGCCCGGTACCTAACAGGCCACAGACCGGTACCAGTCCGAGGCCTGGGGGTTGGGGACTCCTGCTTTAACCTCACCAGTGTCCTGGGCCCCCCGTAGGCCAGGCCCTTCGCCTAGAGTGTCTGCATTCTCCTGGAGGCTTCAGCATCCCGTGAACTGCTCAAAGCCACCTGGCCAGTAAGGGGAGCCCAAATTCTAACCCAGCCCTGCCTTACTGCAAAGCCCCTTTCCTGTGCTCCTCTGCCACCAGCTCACCTGTGGCCTGGGCAGATCCTGCCCCTGCTGGGCCTCAGCTTTCTGCCCTGTCTAGTGCATGGTCAGGGTGTGTATTTGGGAGGAGAGCCTCCCCTTGGGCCCGCCACATAGAACTGAGTGATCCCGAGTATTCTGGGTGAGTGGGGAGCCCTGCTTCTATGGCCTGACTGTCATTCGCCTGTGCTGACAAAGTGCCCACTGTGTGCCCAGGCCCAGAGCAGAGACTGTCAGGTGGGCACAATACCAGCCCTGCCTTCTGATCACTGGGTCTCAGGGAGGCCAGCTGCCCATGACACGACTAGGTGTATGGGCTGGAAGTGGCAGCTGCCACCTGCATGGGAACCCCGAAGTCCAGAGGAGGGAGGGCACTGCCCTGGGGCCATGCAAAGACTGAGGAGCAAGCCAGGTTGGGGGAGCAGAGAGCAGGGAGGGAATTCCTGGCTGGGCAGTGGTTCAGAAGTGTAAACAACCATTAAAAGCACTGTGATTGGCCAGCTTTATTGGGAATTTGAGGTCAGAGAAGCCAACCAGAGGGTCGTGAACTCATAGTTCGGGGGGCTGCAAGCCACATTCTCCCTTCTTGCTTGGCACCATGTCCTCCCCACCCTGTCCCCTAGCCTCAGGAAGCCTGGCACCTGGGGAGGCCCTGGGGCCCTTCAGAAGGAGCCAGGTCTGGGAAAGGAAGCGTGACAGCCCTGCCAGGCAGGCTTTTTCCATTGTGCATGGCCGAATGAAGAAAGGGAAGTGGAAGGAGCGTGGGCCGGGCCTGTCCCAGGCCGGGCCCTTTGCTGCAGGCACGGCCTGTGCTCCCTGTCTCTATCCTCCAGCACTGCTGCAAAGTGGGTGTTCTCGTCACCCCCATGTTGCAGAGACAGAAACTGAGGCTGAGAGAGAGGTGGTGACTTACCTAAAGCCCTGCAGCTGATGAGGAGGCAGAACCCGAAATTTGAACCCAGGTCTGGCCGCCCCAAAGCCAGTGTCCCACCAGTGCAGGGAGGGGAGTGGAGGAGGCGCCCTCAGTCCTCTCACGGGTTAGAATGGAGCCGGGACTAAAACACGTAGTGGCTTTGATGGGGAAGAGTTAAAGGGCAGATCTGAGGGGGGTGTGGGTGAGGTTTCCCCTGCGGAGGGGTGTGGTTTGGGTCAGGGGGTACAGGAGTGTTGCAGCTGCCTTCCTACCCTGCCCAGGCTGGGCCCGGTCCTGCTGGTGAAGGAGAGTCCGAACTCTGCTTGAGCAGTTAACTGCAGAGGCAGGTGCAGGGGCTTCCCTCCCTTGGAGATCAAGTTCAAGATCTCATTCTCCCTGGGAGGCCCAAGGCCCTTTATTGGTGATGAACTCGCTGCTGGGGCTGGGCTCTGGGGGTGGCCACAGTGGGTCCCCCCAGCCCAGATTCCTGACATCAGAGCCCGTGGATGAAGCTCGTCTCTCCTCCGAGAGATGCCAGTGTCCAATGGAGCCCCTTTCTGTAACTGGCCCCAGGAGGCTGGCACTGCCATGCCTCCCAGCCTTCGCTTTGCGGTTCAGGCCTGTGGTACAGAGGGGAGCATTGTGTGTTGGTGGGGAGGGGTCTTTGGGCAGAGGAAGGCAGCTGACCCTCTGAGCTGGGGTCACTGACACAGCCCAGGCATGGTGGGCCGTGGCCCAAGTGTCAGCCTTATGCCATGGGACTGAGGTCTAGGGACTATGCCCAGGGGCATTAAGCCCCTCTCCTGATCCTCCTTGGCCTCCACCCCAGAGCCACTGCCACCTGGGGGAACTTGGGGAGGGTGGGAGTGTTCGGCTAAGGACCCATCTCACCTTGTATTCTCACATCCCCGCGAGGTAGGACCCTTTATTTTCCCAACTACAGATGAGAAGACAGAGGCACCGAGAGATTAGGTGACTTTTATCCACTCCAGGGCATTTACGTTGAGAGAGATGAAAATTTGTGGTCACCCAAAAGCCCTGTGCAAGGATGTTTAGAGCAGCTCTGTTTGAACTCGTCAGACTCTTGACTCAACCCGTAGGTCCCTCGGTGAGTGACGGGATAATGACGCTGTTCCATGCGTCCACGGAGTAGTCCTCCAGTGAAGAGGAATGGGCTTCGATGGGCACTCAGCTCGGAAGACTCTCAGAGGCATTATGCCGGAAGAAGGGAGCCGGTCTCACGAGGTTCTAGGCGCTGTGATCGCATTCATATGGCGCATTTGAAAAAACGCGGAGCTGTAGCGACAGACAACAGACCAGCAGTAGCCAGGGGTGAGGGGTGAGGAGCGAGTGTGACTCAGACAGAGTGAGGGGGTCTGGGGAGCAATGCAACCACCCCGTGTCCTGATTTGGAGTTGGTGGTTACACGAATCTATACATGTGCTAAAATTCATGTAACTAACAAGAAAGGTCAGTTTTGCCGTGTGTAATTTAAAAATACAAGGCAAGAGGGGAGGCCGGAGGAGGAAGAGGCAAAGGCTTCCTGCACTGAGGGACCGTGAGGGGGCCAGCTCTGCATTCTCAACGATGGCTTCTGGGCCCACCTGGCAGCAGGATGGATGCCAGGCTGATTATAGCTTCTGTCTGAATTCACAGGAAGGTGGTGGCAAGTGTTGTGACAGCATCTATGTTCCCAAGAAGCAGTGTGGTTAAACCCTGGCTGCCCCGTGGGGCCGGCCGCCTCCCCATCTACTGGCTTTGGGCATTGAGCTGTCTTCCAGTCACCAGCAGCCACCTCTCATGCCCCCAAGCGTTCGTGTGTGTGGGAGGGGAAAGCGTGGCTGCCCATATTTGATGGATGAGGGACAGGGCCAGGGACCTTAGGAGGGCCACTGAGCCTGGACATCACACTCGCTGAAGACCTCCCACACAGATATTTTCCCCTCCCATACAGATTTTGCCTTTATCTCCAAACTCAAGCTGATGTGCTTCCTGTCTAGTTTATCCAAATCTAAAGCCATATTTTCTACCCGCCGCCACCCCCCCACCCCGCCCGATGTGATTCTCTGTTCTGATGTTTATTTGATGGGTGCTTTATTTTGCTTTAAGACACTGGGAGGCTGGAAGACTGGAGGTGACCTGAGGACACTTCTGCACTCTGTTTCTGGCAGCCCTGGCTGGGTTGGAGGAATGAGACTTGCCTGGGGCCATATGGCACTAAAACTTAGGTCTGAGGCCTGGTCAGGGAGGTTAGGCAAGTCCAGCTCAGGTACCTGGCCAAGGCGACTTCTGAGCCTTGCCAGAGGGTGGCCGTGGGTGGGAATGAGATGCGGGAGAACCCCAGTGTTGGTGGAGCACGCAGTGGGGCGGGGGTCCTACTGTCAACCCGTCTCCGTGGAACGTCATCTATAAAATGGGGGTAAATAGCACCCACCTTGCAGGGTGGCGAGGCTGTGATTAGAGGAGCCCAATGCCCTTCCCCGCCCTCAGCTTCCGGAAGCCTTTGCCTCATGGTGGTTTACACTCCTGTCTCTTCTGCATAGGTTTTGTGCTGACTGGAGAGGCAAAGGACAGGCACTCAACTCATCTCTGCATCTCCATTGCCCAGCACAGTGCCTGGCACACAGTAGGTGCTTAAGACCTGGCCCAGGGTGGAGCTGGGGGTAACTGGGGATAGAAGGTCACGGGAGGTGGGGGGAGAGGCTGGTGGTACGTGCTCATGGCAGGGAGGGGACAGGTCTGGACTGCCAGAAGCTCTGCCCACACCTGTGGCCATCCTTCCTCTGGCTTAGCAGCCCCTCCCCTTCCTTCAGTCGTGGCAGTTTGAAGGAAGTTGTCTGGGAGATGGGTGGGAGGGAGGGAGGCAGGGAGACAGGGAGGGCTTCCAAACCTTGTTCGCCTGACTGACTTCAAGCCCCTGTTCATCCCCGCACCCCAGGAACCTTTGGCTGTGGTCTCAGTCCCAGCACTTATCCTGGGCCCTTTTCCCGAGGGCCCTCCGTAAGGCTCTGTCAAGCCTGGTCACTCAGGCCGGGTGGGCTGGCAGAGCCGGAAGGGTCTTAGGACCACCCACCTCAACCCATTTTACAGATGAGGAAGCTGAGGCCAGAAAAGGGCAGCGACTTGTCCTTTTTCATCGCACAGCTGGGTGGTCAGGGAGCTGGTCCTGCGCCTGGGCCCTCCGAGTTTTTGTCCTGTGATGCGTCTGCTACCGCAGGCTGAGCGGGAGGCCTCGGCAGGCCCTGGGCCAGGGTCCGGCCACCCTCCGAGGCCTGGAAGCTGGGCAGGACCTTTGGCCTGAGGCCAGTGTCTCCCTGCAGCCCTTCCACAGAGGCCGGGCGCCAGCACAAGATGGCAGCCAAGCAGCCCCCGCCTCTCATGAAGAAGCACAGCCAGACGGACCTCGTGAGCCGCCTGAAGACCCGCAAGATCCTCGGCGTGGGCGGGGAGGACGACGATGGGGAGGTGCACCGCTCCAAGGTGGGCCTCAGAGTGGCCTTGAGCCGGCCACACCCAGGGATCCACCTCTGAGCACCAGTCTGGGGAGGCAGGTCTGGCTCACCACCTGGGGAGAGAGTAACTGAGGCCTATATAGCTGCAGGAACTCTAGGACTTAGCTCGTTTCTCTAGAAACTTAAGGAGGTATTAGGGGAATAATAATAAAAATGAAAACAGATTGTTAGAATTGAGTGCTTATTATGTGCCTGTTATTGTACCAGCTGCTTTAAAAGTTTTATTTAATTTTGCTGGCCCTGAGAGATGCAGATAACACTATTAACCCATTTTATAGATGGATAAACAGGCTCAGAGAGGTTAGGTGACTTGCCTGAGGCCATACCGGTAAGTGGCAGAGCCAGGCTTCGAGCCCACCTCAGGCAGAACCCTGAGCTTTCATTCTCGGACACCTTATTTTCAGCTTCCCTTGAGCTCCAGAGTCAGGTAGGCAGTGGCAGGGGTGGTGGCCTCAGTGTTACCCTCCCAGCCTAGATGACCCTTTAGCTAAGCAGAGGTACCCAGGTGGATCCCTGGGCATCCCAGGGGGCTTTGCAGGGATGAGCGGGCCAGCCCTGCCGAGCACTGCCTCACCCTGGTTGCCGCTAACCCATCTGTGTCCGCAGATCAGCCAGGTCTTGGGCAATGAAATCAAGTTTGCTGTCCGGGAGCCTCTGGGGCTGAGGTGAGCATTTATGTGTCTGTCGGGTGGAGGCAGGGTGATGGGAAGGGGCTGCGTGAGACCCCGCCTTATCGGCCTTGCCCCTGTGGTCTTGCCCTTGATTCCATCCGATCTCATTCCTTCCCCGCAAACCAGCCGTCCCTGGGCATCTCAACTGCAGAGGGGAGAGTCCCCTGGGGTCTGGGGGTGGCAGTGAGGGACCTGGCTGTGTAACTTTCCTCTCGACACCTCCCCAGGGTCTGGCAGTTTGTTTCTGCTGTGCTCTTCTCCGGCATTGCCATCATGGTGAGCGCCCCCCGCCCTGCCCCGCCCCATACCCGGGGAACCCTGAGCCTCTACTGGGGGCTCCTTCCTGCCCTGGGGTCCCCGCCGTCTCTCCCCAAATGGCCATCATGCTGAGGCCCCATCTGTTAAGGCTCCCTGGCTGCCTCCATGTCCTGGCTCCTTACACTCATCTCACCTGTGCCTGCCTACCTTGGAGCATCCTAGATCCCATGTCCGTGGTCCTGGTACCTTGCCCCTGGGAACCCCTCAGAGCCTTCTATCCTAGCATGGAGGGGTGGGGGACAATCAAATCCTGTCCCTGGAATGCCCCAGGGACCCTGGCCTTGCTCCTGGGGGAAGATGATGTCTGGGGAAATTTCAGTAGTGAATCTCCCCCACTTTGAGCTTTCTGCCCTTTGTCCACAGGCCCTTGCCTTCCCTGACCAGCTCTATGATGCAGTCTTTGATGGAGCCCAGGTGACAAGCAAGACCCCCATCCGCCTGTATGGTGGTGCCCTCCTCAGTGAGTATTGCTGGAGTGGACTCCAGGCGGGAGGTAATGGTCAGCTGGGGGACTAACTGGGGTTGTGGGATCATGGGGAGCCTTCCTTTGTGCAGGGACTACCCTTCCCAGAGCCCCGCCCCCTCAACGGAAGTCTGTCTTTGCTGGGTGTATGCTGCCATCTTGTGGCCACTGGTAGGATGTACCCAGTGGATTGGGGCTCTGTCTTTGTCGTATCTGGCCTACCACTGCGCGCTTGCTGGTGCAGTGTCCCACCTAGGCATTGGGATGCAGAGGTGAATGAGGCCCAGGCCCTGCCGTCCAGGGCCTTACAGCCTAGAGGTGGCAAAATCAACATGGTATGTGCGAAACCCCTCACACCACTGGTCGTCTCATTCGAACCACTTCTGTTTCCTCTCCAATCTGAGTCACATAGAGTGCGTGTTAGGAAGCTGAATTATAGCTTTAAAAACTTAGCAAAGATGGTGTCCCTCCCCTTCTCCAAAGCATTCTATGGCTCCCTATTACTTGCAGAATAAAGTCCCAGCTCTTTCATCTGGCATTCAGGGTCTTTTGTGGGGATCCAAGCTGTCTTCTCAAACCTAGTTCCCCGACACCCACCCACACCTCAGTGCCCCAGTTTCCGGAGGCCTCTGTGCCTTTGCACACACAGTTCACCCAGTTCCGATACCTCTGGGGCAGGGGGTGGTGGAGATTGGCACGGCTTCAAGCGCTCTACCCACACAGTGGGAGAGCTAGAGTTTACAGGGTTAGGTTTGTTGAGAGAAAATGAGCCTACATCTGGTGGTCAGAGCCAGCAGACACTGGGTCAGCTGGTAGAGGCTAAGTAGGTGGTTCTTCCACTGAAAATATGGCCTACCTATTCCCCCCTGGGGAATTCCTTAGAGTGATTCCATAAGGGGTTCAGGTTCTCTGTCTCCAGGAGACCATTTGGAAAGAAAGTGTGATTGTAGCACCAGATAACCCATTCACTCACAGACTCCCATCAACCCAGAATCAAAACAGAACCTGATAGGGGCAGAACCTAGAGCTCAAGCCTCCCGTGTTACACATGAAGAGACTGAGTCCCAGTGAGGGGACCTGACGTGCCCAGGGTCCCGTGGTGTGTGGGAAATTTCATGAATGGGAATGAGCTTATCGGCTGAAGCAGCAGAATTGAACCTGGAGGGAATGGGACAGGGGATGGGTGGAGGAGTTTTGGTTTGAGGCATGTGCGTGAGTGGGGGCAGGGGACGTGGGAGTCCCCTGCCCCAAGGGGGTGGGTGGATCAGGCTGTGCCACTCTGTGTCGCCGCCCAGGCATCTCCCTGATCATGTGGAATGCTCTCTACACTGCTGAGAAGGTCATCATTCGATGGACCCTGCTCACGGAAGCCTGCTACTTCGGGGTGCAGTTCATGGGTGAGTCCTGAGGTGGGCAGTGAGGGAGGGAGGCTGAAGGCGGACTGTGGCCGGGGCAGCTCTGCCTCCACCTTTCAGCTCTTCCATTTGGGTTTCCAAGAAGCGACGGAACCTGTCCGAGGGGGAGGGACTGCTGTGGCTGTGTTCACCTGTGTGCCTGCACACCTGCTCACGCGCCTAACGTGCCTATATCTTCCCGAATACACACATGTGCATTTCCACAGCCTCCCACACCCCGGCACAGGCGTGACAGCACACATCAGTGCTCGCCCCAGTCCCTGCCAAGTGGGGGACATCAGAATAGACATGTCTATGGGGTGAGGCAGCTGGCAGGACCCCCCCACCCCCATTCCCCAGCTCAGGGCAAAGCCAGCGAGGTGGCCACCCCAGGGCTCCCGGATCAGCATGCCATCCTGTGGTGGGGGTGAGGGCACATCCCTCCTCTGACCTCTGTCCCCCCCCGGCCTTTCTCCCACAGTGGTCACTGCCACACTAGCCGAGACGGGCCTCATGTCCTTGGGGATCCTGCTGCTCCTGGCCAGCCGCCTCCTTTTTGTTGCCATCAGCGTTTACTACTATTACCAAGTCGGCCGAAAACCCAAGAAAGTCTAGCAGCCCGCCCGGCCGGGGGCCACTCTGGGGCGGGGAGGCCCTGGGCCTCGGTTTCCCTTCGGTTCACGGAAGGCAGGAAGGACCCTGCCCTGCCCCGGGCAGGCAGGGGCGGCCACCTTCTTTCCTCCCGGGCACTGTCCGAATGCTGTGATCTTCTGGGCTTTCAGGTTTGGGGAAGGATGGGGGCCTCTGCACCCCTATTCTTCACCCTACATAGTGACACCTCCTTTTCTTGGGCCTCTTGGCCTCTGGATCCCCTGGACAGACGCTGACTGAAGAGCCTGCATCATGGGGTATTGGGCTGGGGCGAGGCTCCTGCCCCTCCTGCTGGGAGGCCCTGCTTTCTTTTGAGAGAGGCTGTGGGCCGCCTTGTCCTCCCCCTTCACCCCCAGCCAATCTAGTGCCCAAGCAGCTGAACTTGGCTTCTGTCTATGCCTGGAAGATCTGAGGATTTGACCCTGTGCCCCTACTCCTTACTGTGGGCCCTCTCCACATGTGGGGGCTCCCTCCACCCCCAAACACGCACACCTGCCCTCCCCACAGTCTAGCTGCAGCCAGCAGGTGGGGGTGGCTGTCTTTGAGCTGGCATTTCCCTTCCAGCCTTCCTGTGGGGTGGGCCACATGACGCCGTGCCCTGTCCTTGCCACCACGGGCTCTCCCAGGGCCTCGCCTGAGGCTGCTCTGCCTACACCCCAGCTCCTGGAGGCCCCTACGAGCTCCCTTCCCCCAACTGGCCTGGTTCCAGAGCCTGCCAGCGGCCTCGCACAGGCTGGCCCTGACAGATGGACGCACAGATAACCCCAGGTGGAGGCTACCTGTGAGTGATGGGGTTGGGAGATGAAGAAAGGCAGCGGCATCTCCTCGTCCTTTGGCTTGTTCCCGGATTCTGATGTTCACCTGGCTTAGCTCCCTCACTCACCCTTCCCACCCCCGCCCAGGGTGCTGCCCTCTGGACCTCCAGCCTGGGCTGCCCCCGAGGCCTGGTGGGGCGGACCGAGTGCCCTTCAAAGTCAGCAAAGGAAATAAATAGAAATATTTTAGCAGGCTACTTCCTCTTACGCCCCTTTGCCCCCAGTTGCCCTGGAGAAGGCCGACAACTGGCTCCCTCAGAGCCTAAGCCCCCCGGCAGGCCCATCAGCCTGCGTGTCCCCCAATAGTTCCAACACACTTCTTCCGTCTAGGACACAAGTGTGCACCCCAGCAGCCCTAGCCCCAGTCTCGCTTCCTGCTTTGCAGTAGAGTGTGTTTAGGGGGCGGGATGGTCCATAGGTGCAGCCCAGCTCCGGGCACTACCAGATGGGTCTGTATCTGGGAAGCCTATCTTGCCTACGCTGGGCCTCACACTACCCTCCCCTGTGCCCAGCTGTCCCTGTAGCCACTGCCTAGTGCCTGGAAGAGCAGTGGCACTACCGTTGATATACAGCTGAGAGAGGCCCAGGCTATGCTGCTGGTGACCGTGGCTGACCCGAAGGGAGCCGAGACACTAAGGAAGGGCCTGCTCTGCCTTGGCACCCATCTCTCGTCATTGACGTTTGTGCCTGTCCCCAGGGAGAGCCCCAGCAGGCTGGGAGCCCACCACTGCCTTGGGAGGTGGTGTTGGTGACTGGTGGGCAGTGCCACCAGGCCAAGGCCACACCCTCCATCTGACCCTCTCCTTTTAAGGCCTGGCTGATCCTCCGATGAGTGCTGGGTGGTTTGTCCTAATAACCGCTAGGCATGGCTGGTAGGTCCCTCCAAAGGCGGGGAAGCGGGGCCAGGCTCTGTGTTGGGCATCCACCTCGGCTAAGCTGGCCAGGCTCCCTCCCGCTCAGCTCGGGGGTGGGTGGGGTGGGGGAAGCGCGGGCTCGTCCCACAGGGCATAGTGAGTACCCACTGGGATGGCGCCATCCGGGCTCCGGCACAGAGCAGTGTCCGGGAAATTCTGTGCTGCTTGGTTAAACACTGCTCTGAGGCTTGGAGGGAGGGGGTCTGGCAGACAGACAGGCAGACAGACATACGGCCTGGGTGGGGGTGGGGTGGGGCTAGGTACAGGGAGACAAAGCAGAGTCCTGGTTGGGGAGGAGGCAGGGACGAAGTGGACAGGGCCAAAGGAACCCTCAGATCTAGTGAAGAAGGCCTGGTATGGGCCCAGCTCTTCTAAACGTTTGGGAAGACCCAGAACGCCTCTCCCCAGTTCCCCCAGATCCCCTCTGCCACCAGAACCCAGTGCACCCTCTTGCCCTAGCCCACCCCCCACCCCCCAATCAAGACCACCTTTCTTCACGGTCACTATTTATTCTTCGTTCCTTTTTCTTTTTTGTAAGAAACAGTCACAAAAACCAGTGCAAAACCATTAGTGTGGGTGTCCTGTTTTATATTACAAAAACTCTTGATATATAATATAAAAAGGGGGCTCACAGGAAACAAACATGATAAATTAGCTCCGCTATCTACTGCAAGGAACATTTACAGTTTTCAAAATAGACTTTTAACATAGGGCTCATGGGAGAAAGGAAGAAGGTCTTCTGGGGAGACGGGGTTCTGGGGCCTCGGCTCGTTTGAGGGATCCCGTCTCGGCCCCTTAGGCATGGATAGAGGAGAGGGACAAAGGAGGCCGAGGAGGGGCCCTAGCCCCTAAGGTGTCTCCCCTTCTCCCAGAGACAGTAGTTTTTGGAGCAGGAACGAACGGGGTGGGTGTGTGACAACTTGGAAAGGCCTCCTTGGCCCTTGCCCTGCTGTTGGATCACAGGAAGTCTTTATAGGGGCATTCCTAACCTCCCCCAACCCCTGGCAGCCAACAACTGCCACTAGCACCTATTATGGGCTGTATCCGGACCAGCCCAGCCAGATCTGGAGCCTGAGAGAGGCTCCTTAGATTGGGCAGAGCTTTCTTTTCTCACACAATGGCTACAAGTAGCCTTGTACATACCTACCAGCCTGGGCTCAGGCTAGAGAGCAGACCACCTCCCCGCTTTCCCTTTCCAGCCTGAGGGGCCAGTGGCTGTGCAGGTCAGTGGAACAGATTCAGGGCTCCTTGGCACCTTTCTGGGAAGCCTTTGGTGGTGACAGTTTAACAACTACCCATGATCCCATGTCAGCCAGATGGGTCCCCTGTGACCTTCCCTCTTCTCAACTCCTACGGGGGCCAGAAATGGGCGGGAGTGGAAGAGACTGGACGAGCCGGGTGGTATCAGATGTCAGGCTCCTCTTACTTTCAAGGGCCCAGATTCTCCTGGGCAGGGGGAGACCAGATGGGGCCCCTGGACTGGAGCCACACAGCTGCCCAGTTTGGCCTTGAGTCCCCTCTAAGCAGCCTGGGATTTTTTAATGTTATTTTCTTTCTGGTCAACCTCAGACCAGCCATTTGCCTCTTCCAGGAAGCTGGAGGTAAGCGTGTGGGTGAGTCTAGAGGGGCAGGGCCCAGGCCCTTCTCAGGCTGGGCTGGGGTGCCAGCTGCTGGATTATATGGTCCAACAGCTGGGGACAGCAAAGACCCTGGATCCTGGGGATGGCCAGTCCCTAGGGAGCTCATGGCATCATGGAGTTGCCAGAGCAGGCTGCTCCAGGGACAATTTGGAAAGACTCAGTCTGGAGACCTGGAGGGAGGGCCAGGGCTGGTGGGAACAGCAGGAGGGGCGGAAGGGGTAAGGGGGAGATGGGAGGAGAGTCTAACCAAATCTTCATAGCAAGCAGAGCCCTGGCTGCACCTCAGAAGCAGGCAAATGGGAGACTGAGGGAGCCCTGGACTTGAGGCTGCAGCTTTGTGGCTAGAAAGCAGGAGGGGGAGGCTGGAATCTGGCACAGGGCTTGTGACGTAGAATGGGCTTCTCCCAGACCCTGAAGACAGACAGACAAAGAGGAGGGCCGCCACCATGCTGACCCTCCCATTCCCATGCCTGTGGCAGACATCACTAATCAAGCATAAGGGGTCTGGCAGACGTTGCTGATCAGGATCACGCCGCCCTCTCCCAGAGTCCAGACCAAACCTCAGGTCCTCAGCACGGCCCCCGGCAGCCACTCCCGGTTGATTGAGGTTGAGGCATCTTGCAGTCCAGTCGCCAACACTGGTTTAGGTCTTCATATGCGAGGCTGATTTGTGGGTGCTGTGTGGGTGTCAGTGAGCCCGTGGGAAAACCTCTTCCTGCCGGAGCCTGGAGGGGAGGGAGCGCCCAGAAATGCACTATGGAGAGTGGACAGGAAACCAGGTCACAGCAGAAATGATGAGATGCCCTGGAGTTCTTTATCCTGGAGATAACGAGGCTCAGGGAGAAACAACATGTGGCCTTAACACTGGGGGAAGGAGAGAGAGCAAGTGGAGGAACCACAGAAAAATTTCTGCTGTGCATTGAGCTGATGCTATAGTGAGCAGTCCAAAGGCAGAAGGTTGTCTTGGGAGGTAGTGAACTCCCCATCCCTGGAGGTGTACAAGAGGAGGGTGGAGATGTCTTGGCTGGGATCATACGGAAGATATCCAAACCATGGTTCTGGGTGAGGAGAGAAGAACCCGGTGATCTTGGGGGCTCCTTCCAGCTCTGAGAGCTGGGGAGCTGGTGGAGAACAGGGAAGGGGACTGGCTTGTGGGGGGAGGTGGGCGGTGTGGAAAGGGGACTCTGGTGTGTGTACGTGTGCGTGTTCCTGGGGGCCTAGAAGTGCAGGTAGGGGTGAGAGGGAGGGCAGGGGGGACAAAGTCCCGAATTTTCTTAGCCGTGGACCTGGGAAGATGTAGTTCTTGGTCAGCCTGCCCTGTCTCTTCTGGGGAAACCACGATGCTGAGGCTGAGGCGGGGGTGGGCAGCAGGTCTGCTGGACTAACAGAGGTGGAGGGAGTGACAGGCAGCCTGGAGATGACCCAGTTCTTGTCCAGAACTGTTGTGCATGTGCTGTGTGACTGGATGAAAGTCTGTGCCTTCTTCTGGATAATGTGGTCCAACAGCTGGGGACAGCAAAGACCCCACCAGCTGGGCCTTTCTTGGATCCAGTGTCCGCAGCCCACTCTCGGCCTCAGCTGGAGCAGGGACAACTCCATGGACCGGAGGACCAGGGATTGCGAGTCAGTGCCGAGTCCTCGAGGACATGTTGACCAAGTCCATCTGGGGACCCCGGGCTTTGGCGACCTCTCCGAGATTTGCTTTTATCTTCCTGTTACCCAAATCCTCTCTTTCTTGGCACCTGGTCCCGAAGCTGTGAGGAAAGGCCCCAGGCCTGGGGCTGCCAGAGTCCAGCTGGGCGGAGGAGGGGACCTGGGACTGGTGTTCCTTTGGTCTCTGGTGCACACTGCATCAGGGGCGCAGGTGCTGGGGTCCCTGCAGAGAGCTCATGGCCCCCACCCCAGAATCCAGGCAGGGTACATCGGTCAGTATTTTTGTCACTTAGTTAAAAAAATAAGTATTTCCCCCTGCCCCTTCTTTTGGCCACTTATGATGGCCTCCCCTCCTCCCCTCCCCCACCCCTGGAGCCCAGGGGGCAGGGGCGTGAGGGAGGGGAGGGCGACGGGTGCTGGGTGGTTGTGGGCAGGGTGAGTCTCCAGGCTTCAGGCCACACCCTCTACTGGATGCCCCGGAAGAGGCACATGGCGAAGATCATGGCGAAAAGCTGCAGAGAAAGTGCGTGTCGGCTCGTTAGGCTGGGCCCCCAGCCCTCCACCCGGCGCCCACTCTGCGGGAAACGGTCTGTCTGTCCTACGGCAGGACGCGGCGTGCGCGTCCTTCTCCTGCCGTGGGGACTCCCGACGCCCCCTGGCGGCAAGCCCTTCTCACCAGCCACGGGGCCCCTTCACGCGGTATAGTCACCGCGAGAAAGGGGCTTTGGAAACCAGGAGACATGGCTTCAAATCTAGCTCCCTCTTTGCCACTGGTGACCGTGGGCCAAACACTTCCCTTCTCTGGGCCTGCTATGTCTCTAGAACTCACCGTGTGCCAGGCACAGTTCAAGGCGCTTTCTTAGAAACCCTTTCACAGACCAGGAAGACCGAGTCACGTAGCCTGCCTGAGGTAACACAGTTACAAGCAAGGAAGCCAGGGTTTGAGTCCAGGCATCTGCCCCAGAGCCCGCCTGTGCTCACAACCTGAATGCCCCGCTTCTCGTTCACAGGGCAGTGGTGAGATTGAAGTCTAAAGCGATCATCTAACGACATCATGGGGCCTGTTATGTAGGAGATGCTTAGTAGAAAGTCACCAGGGTTGCTGTTAACAGGCAGGGAAGGCGTAGGGGCACAGCCACTGAACACTGAGGACCCTGGGGTGGCGGGGAGGGCAGGGACCGACTCAGGGGTACGCCTCCGACCAGACTGGCTGATGTCCCCATGGCCACGCCTCTTCTTGAAAGTAGCACAAAGGACGGTTCCCAGACCTCATGGCCAAATCTCCAGGAGGGACAGTGGGGTCAGGAGGCAGGGCTGGTTTGGGACCATGGTAAAGGTTCCCACCTGGGAGCAGGGTTCTGCTTCCCATAGGGGCTGGGGAGCTGGACTCTTAAAAGCTCATGTTCTTCCTGCATCAGACACATGCCTGCAGTTTCCCTGGGCCTGGCACAGGTTTATCTGTTTCTTAGTCACTGCTACGTCCCCCGAGAGGACTCGTTCACCTCAAATAGTACTGGCACATAGCAGGGTCTCAGTTTATGCTTGCTGAGTGAATGAATGACTGAATGAATACATAAATGGCCCCTTCCTCTCTCCCATCTCCAACAGTCTCCACAAACTGCTCTAAGCATGGCTGTAAAAGGGACAGTAAGAAGCTGAGACAGGCGGCAATGTTGCCAGGTGTTGGTGGACCTTCAAGGCCGCCCTGGCTTCATGTCCCCGAAGGCCGACAGGTGGCTGAGGCCCAGAGTACCTGTTCCTGAAGACGGCTGCGCATGGGCCATGCTGCCCACCTAACCTCCCTGAGCAGTGGGTTCGAGATCCAGGAAAGGCTCTGCCCTCTGGCTGAAGCGACACCTATTGGTGTCTGCAAGAATCTGCAACTGCCTTCCTTTGGAGGGCGCTGGGACCTTCAAACAAAGGGGCTAAGAAAGCCCTTGAGAGGTTCAGAGGGCTGCACCGGCCCTAAACACACCGCAGTGGAAGGGCCTGATCTAGGAGCACAGACAGCAGCCCCTCCCTCAAGTCAGCTGTGCAGAGCCTTCAGTCGAGACTTCACTCTGGACCTTGGGTGGGTTTGGGGGGCTGATTTGGGGGTTTGGTGGGAGAGGAATGGAGATGGGAGGTGGCAGGAAGATGGGGGAGTGACTCTCAGGTCCTGCCTGTCCCCACAACCCAGAGAACTTGCTCAGACGTGTCCAGAGTCCAATGATGACACACAGGCAGCAGACAGACATGGCAGGGCTTACTACCCACAGTCCCCATAGTGGAGGACCCATGGGTCCTGGGGTAAGGACGTGGAGACGGAGATGGGCTGGGGATTGCAGGCCATGGGGGATCTTCCCCAGGCCCCGTGTGTGCCTTGCTTCTGGGGAGCCACAGAAGTGGGGCCTTCACTTACCTCGATGGCCAGCACCCCGATGGCGAGGGCTCCGGCCAGGTAGACGTAGGTTTCGAAGGCATTGAGGATCACTGTGTAACAGCCCTGGGGGGAAGGATCAGAGGTGAAGCCGGAAGGATAGTCTGGGGTCACGGGCTGGAGGCCCGCATCAGGACAGGGGTGTGAAGCCGGGAACTGGCATGTGCCCTCAAAGCTCGGGCAACAGCCTTGGCACAGAGCAAAGCCTCAGTCCCTGTAGGACCGTCCTCCCTCTCTCGATGCCCCTCTCAGCACGTCCTGGCTGGTGGACAGTGAGCGCAGAGTGTGTGTGTGGGTTTACCCGCTATGCCTCCAGGTGTCACTGCCAGACCATCCTCTCTCTACGCACACACCCCTGTTCCACAAGGAGAGGGGACAGGATACATGGCAAAGCCCTTTCTGAGCTTGAAGTTGACTTTGACATGCCTCCTCCGAGTGGGGCCTTGTCCAGCAGAGGGAGGACATCCCCGCGCCCCTCTGCTGTGCACAGGGCCTGAGGTCTAAACCGCTCATCTCCCTTCCATCTGGCTCTGGCGCCAAAGACCCTTTGGGTCCCTGGACTGGGCCAAGCAGACTGGGCTGGCCAGTGGAGGCCCCGGATACTGAGACACCCTCGGAGTGAGCAGGGAGGGCAGGGGGGATGGATGGGACGATGCTACCAACATGTTGTAAGTGTCTACCCTGTCGGGAACTCTGCTGGGGCCTCATGGGCTTGTTCTCACTTAGTCCTCATCACAGCCCCTTGGGGAAGAGGGCTCTCCCTGCATCCTGTATGTGAGGAAAGGAGGGCAGGAGCAGCTGGACCACTTGCTCAAGGCCACACACGGGGAGGAAAGGAAGCAGGGTTTGCACGGGGAGTCCAAGGTCCCCCTGCTCTTCCCTCTGCTCTAGGGGAAGGGAGCTGGGCATCAGGGAGGCTCGGTTCTCGCTCATCCAGGCCAGGCCTCTGGCTCAGGGCCCAAGCTCCTGTCGACACCCTCGGATGTCACATCTTCCTCCCTGTCATGATGGCTTCCTCCCCTCACCCAGCCCCGCGGGGCGCCATCTCTCCCAGCCTCACCACAGACTGCTAGTGCCCTAACCATGCTGCTGTCGCCAGCTCCCCATTCTCCCGTGCTCCCTCTCTGCAGGGCGGGAGTATCACCCCACCCCCACCCTGGCTCCGGACCACAGTTGCCCCTCTAACCTCATCTGACCAAAAGCAGCTAGGCAAGAGGTGACGCTACAGAGAACACCCACGTTTGTGCCTACGGCATGGACCTTCCCCTGAGCTCCAGCCCCATATGCCCAGTTGCCCACTGGGCACCTCTGCTGGGATGTCCCAAGGACTCAACATGTCCAGAATCAGAACTCGAGACCTTCCCCCAAGCCGGAGCCTGTGGAGTCGCCCTCAACACCTCCTCACCCTCCCTTCTCCACAGTCGACCTACTGCCACAGATGGTAGCTTTTACCTCCTGAATAATTTCTCACATCTATACACCTCTCTGTGTCTCCACTGCCATCACCCTGGTCTAACCTACTGTCGCTTCTCATTGGGACCGAGTAAAAATCCCTCCTGTCCGCTCAGGCTGTCCACCTCTAATCCCTGGCCACAGAACAGCCAGAACATCAACACGGCCATGTACCCCACCCCCCACTCCCCACGCAGAACTAGGATGGTTTCTATTGCCCTTCCAGCATCCTCGCGGACCTGTTGCCCAGCATGGTCGGGCCCTGCTGATGCCCTCACTCACTGTGCTCCAGCCCTACTGGCCTTCTCTTGGTTCCTGGAATATACCAGGCTCCCTCCCTTCCCAGGGCCTTTGCATATGCCGCTCTCACTCTCTAGATGAATTGCTTGTTACTTTTTCCAGAAAGATGAGAGTGTAGCACTTTGTTTCAAGGAGAGTCACAGCAGCACACACACTCCTAACCCAGCAGGAAGCAGATGGGGAACAGTGGGGATAGAGCAGAGAAACGGTGATGCCGTAAGGAGAGAAGACTTAGGGTCACCCAGACAGATGGGGGATATGGATGGTTTCCTATTAGTGGCCCCCTGCTGGCCTAGAGGCAAGGTCTAGCAAGGTCGCCCTCTACTGGGAGACCCCTTGATTTATGTCCAGCAGAAAACACATCCCTGACTTTGCATATGCCAGGGTGACTGTCTTGCCTGACTTGCCTGGGGTGGCTGCCATGTGGGTTTGAGTCATATCAATGGGTAAGCCCAAGTATTCATCATGGGTTACCATTTTTTTTTTTTGAGATTTCCTCATTTCTCTTCATTAGAGTTCAATGGTAAACAGGGTTGGCGGACTAACTCAATACCATAGACAAGTGTCCTCTGTCTTGACTCCCGGTGGCCATGTGACCAAGTCCTAGCCAGTGAGACCTAAGCAGAAGTCTGTCGGGGGTTCCTGGGAAAGAGGCTTGTGCTCTTCCCCCTGCCTTGAACATGGGTGGGATGTCTGGAGCTATGGCAGCTATTTTACCACCATGAAGCGGTAAGCACAATGAAATGCCACAGAGATCACAGAGACCAGGTCTTGACTGACATGACAGAGCAGCTGATACAATGGGAGAAGCCACCATCTTCCAGAGTTCTTGCCATGTGTGGAACACAGGGCTATTTGCTTAAGCCCTTTGAGTCAGTAACTCGCAATCAAATGTGTTGCTCACTGATTCAAGACAGTGACGGAGATATAAAGCCAAATTGGAAATGCATCCTGGGCTTTAGGGAAGAGGGCTTTGGAAGAACACAGGTAGTTCCTTAGCAGAGGCTTTTAAAAGTGAAGAATGCTTAGGAGGGATGTGAGTGTCTCAGAAATGGAATCCCAGAAGTCAACCTCGGTAACACCCCTGAGGTCAGAGGAAGAATCATCGTAAAGAACTAATGTAGCTGCCCAGGGACCTCTCCCATGAGCTCCTACATCAAGGCCATGCCCAGAAGATGGAAGGAGGCATTGTCACAGAGGATGAATCAGAAATGAGAAGGATGGCAGGGCAGGAAAAGCCCTGAAGGACCAGGGCCCACAAGCAGCTTCCTGGGACAATTCCCAAGTGGCCTCAGGACACAGGTTTGGCTATAGGCACTGGGCATTCCTAACAGTAGTTCCTTGAAACAAGTTAGAAGTTCATTTGTCTTTCATATCAAATTCTAAGCCGTGGTGGCCACTCTGCTTTCTGGAGTTGTCAGTGGCCCAGGCTCCATCTCTCTTGATGCTCTGACAGCCTACGGGGCCACCCTCCTCTGCAAGGTCTGAGGTGGCTGTCATCACAGCTGCATCCCAGCCAGGGGGTAAAGAGGAGGGGTGGGCATAGCACTTTCTCTTAAGGATGTCACTCCGTTGCACAAATCATGTCTGCTCACCTCCCTTTGGCTAGAACATGGTCACATGGCCTAGCTGCAGGAAAGGACAGCCTTTATCTGGTGGCCATGGGGTCTTATAGAGCCCCTTTTTCCAGGGGAGAAGGGGTGAATAGAGTTTGGAGACAGGCAGAAGTCTCTGCCACTGTTCAGGGAATCTGAGGTCAAGAGAGTGTGTCCTGGCCAAGGTGACACAGCAGCCCGACATGTCAGTCTGGCACCACACCCCTTCTGCCATGTCCGGCAGCCTCTCCTGAGAGCAGAGACCTCCGGCCCCTGGGGTGGCCTGATCCCAGGGCCCTCATTTCTTTGTGTCTCCTCCCCCCAGCACTGGAGGGCAAGACCATGAGGGGCGGAGAAGCCGAGTTCATGGGGCAAAGCTGAGGCTAGAAAGAGCCTCGCCTTAGGCCAGGGTCAGGCTTCAGCTCAACTGTCCTCTTCCCCAGACTCTTAAGAGGCCTGCCTTGAGCCCCTGCCCTGGTCCCTTTTAGCCCCTCATCTGGCATTTCTTTCTTCACAGTAATCATTGCCGTGTGTAGTGATGACTTTTTGTTCGTTTGCTGCTTGTTTATCATCTACTTTTTCTAACTAGACTGCGAGCCCCACAGGAACAGGGCCTTGTCTCCTGTCCCCTGAGGGGTCCCCTGCATCTGGATCTCTCCAATGCGATCCTCATTAAAGGCCTATTAAGTGAGGGGTGCAGGGGCTCAGTCCACCTTCGCTCTCCCCCCTCCCCCACCTAGCCCGGTCTCACACCCAAGGCATGGGGGGCTGGTCACTGGGGACCCTTGTGTGCCCCAGAGGTGGCATATGTAAGGAAGGGAATGGGTTTTTTAGAGACTTAGATGAAGTCCTCGGGTTGCAAGAGAAGCAAGGAAGTCTAGGAGCTTCTGTGACCTTGGAGGGTCAGGTCAGGGAAACCTTGCTTCCTTGGAGTCAGGAGGTGCCCCCACATGGCAAATGTGAGCTTTCCCCCAAATACAGGGCATGACTGAGGAGGGGCCCCCACCATGTGACTCTGGTTCTGGCTCCCGACCTGCATTATTGGAATTGCAAGGAGCGTTCGGCCTGGAACACTGGAAAACTCCTACTGACCTTTTAGCCCCAGCCAAAACGCCCAGTCCCCTGGCCTGTGCCTTCTGCCACCCTCATCCTTCCTGCACTGTGGTGGAAGCTCGAGGGCCTGGATGGAGCTTCATCAGCCCCCACTCAGTCCCATGTCATGGCCAACACACCCATGGGATCAGGAGTGCCTTCAGACCCTTTGGGCTGACACTGCCCCCCAACCAGCTCTGGCCACCCATGTCCCCCCGCTTGGGGCAGCAGGGCCTGGTACCTGCTTGTTCAGGAACAGGTCCCTTCCCAGGAGGCATTCCTCCCTGCTCAGCAGGACCCCGTCCCGAGTCTGGGGTTCTCTTCGGCAGCAGGCCTCTGGCACCTCTTCACTATCCAAAGTCAGGAGTCGAAAAACTGATGCGAACTTGAAGTCTTCAGGCCCGTTGACCCCGCAGCAACCAAACTAGGAGGAAAACAAAGCCAAGAGTCTGGGGGACAGAGCTGGCCCCAGGGGCGGAAGTACGGATGGCCTGTGTAGAGGCCACAGTGAGGCAGCGGGGTGGGGTGGAGTGGACACCCAGGCGTGGGCTGGCTCCACCCTCTCTGCCTGTGTGACCCCGGGAAAGTCACTCAGCTTCTCTGAGCCTCCAGTGACTTTAACCTTAAACTGGTGGTGGAGGTAGAGATTCCTACCTCACCAGGCACTTAGCATGCAATAAACAGTTCCTTTGATTACCGTCATCAATGACGATGACAGTTGCTTGAGGAATCAGACAGCTTTCATCCTGAGTTTGGACCGTTTGCCTGGCAGTGGCTGCCAGCAACGCCGTGTGGATGCGATTCTGAGGCTTGGTGGCCAGTGCCCTGGTTGATTATTGATGTCTGCCAATTCTGAGGCTTGGTGGCCAGTGCCCTGGTTGATTATTGATGTCTGCCCACAGGCACATGAGCAGAGGGGACTCTGGAGGCCAGACTTTTGCTATGCTGGGCGTCGTGGCTCTGAAAGCTCACAGTCCAGGTTTGGGGGCTATGTCACTCACTGTGATCATGACTGAGTTCCAGGTGGCAGAGAAGACATCCGTGTCGTTGTTGCCCTGGTAGTGCTTGGTGAGCTCCTTGGTGAAGAATTCACGGGTGAGCTGGAGGCAAAGGAAGAGGGTGGCTGAGACCCGCGCCCAGCAGCTTGACGCTGCCCCCACCCCTCCATGGCCTCTGCATCTATCTGCTTCGGGGGAGGGAAGGGAAGGCCTCAGGGCCCTGGTGCCAGGCTCCTGGCATTCTCCTAAGCTGCCAACTTGGGGTGGGTCCCTTAAGCCCACCCCAAGGCCTGTGGCCTCCCTGCATGGTGGGATCACCTACATGAAGTCTACACAACCCCTCGACAGCCCCGAGGCCGGGGCGCACGGAACCTCACTCGCCCCTGCAACACTTCTCAGAGGGAGGGCTTGCCCAGGATGGGGCACTTCCCCTCCCGCCACGCCCTCCACCCTGACCCGTCCCTCAGACAGAGCCAAGCAGGCGCCCTGAGTCCCAGGCCCCGAAGAAGCCACGCGTGGAGCAGGGAGTCTTTGCACATCCACGGGTTCTACCCTCAAAATATTCTCACGGTCTAACCACCTTGCTTCCTGCTGCGGTGAAAGGGCCGGGCCCTGGGTGGTACCTCCAGAGGGGCACCATCGGGGCACCGATGTCTGCTCATAGGCTACTTACTGCCTGCTCCTCCCCTCCGTGCCAACAGCTCAGCGGCTGACCCCAGGGCCAGCCTGCGTCTCCTGCCCCCTCTCCCTTCTTTCCTCTCCTCTGTTTCCAGGCCACCTTTGGTTGGTGTCTGGCTCTTATAGACTCGGGGAAGGGAGCTGCTGCCCAGGGTGGTTGGAGCCCCTGGAGTAAGGTGGCCCATCAGGGCAAGTGGCCCAAATTGGATATTGGCCTGGGCCTCATCGAGCATGCTCTGTCCTAGTCTCCTGCATGTCACCTAGTCCAGGGAGGAGGAAGGGGAGACACACAGCCTCCCTGACTATCCTTGAACTGTCAAATGACTATTGCTGGACCATTGCTGGGAACGGTATGGAATGGAAGATTCCAGAATCTGGTGTGGGGTTGCACCAGATGCTTTGGAAGAGCAGGGATCCTTAAGGGTCCCCCTGACTCAGACCTTCTAGAAAAGCCTTAGCAGAAAGAGGCTTGCCAGGGTCTCCCTCTGGGCTGTGGGGCCTGTTGGGGTGCTGGGTCAGAATTTGGGCTGGAAGTGCTTGATGAGAGCCTCCCGACTCTACTGAGGAGGGGACAGGCTGGCCTTGATGGCCACTGAGCCCTGGCTGGTTGCAGGGGCCAGGGTGCGGGGGGCCCAGTACGTACATTTTCTCTAAAGATAAAGGCCAGGATGGCCGCTGAGAGCTCTGCCAAGAAGATGATCAGGATGAACAGGAAGAACTGCAAAGAGAAGAGGCCGCGTGAGCGTCTCGAGGGCGGGCGGGACAAGGGCATCACTCACTGAAGCGCCCTTCCATCTGTTACGCAACGGACGCAATGCGCTGATTTTGTAAGACTAAGGAACGTCACTGCCCGAAGCCAGACATTTTTCATAATAAACACACCAACAATCCATCTTGGGAGTCAACAATCTTGCAATACAAATATGGACAAAGCAAACATACATCTTCCGTACAAATGGCCCCCCTTTACAAGGCTCTTGCTCGGTAATCAGTCTGAACTACCCTACCTGGCAGCCCTGGGAAGAGACAGATGTTGAAACATGTTTGGGCTCCCTCTCGGTGGATTGTCCAAGCTGTGGGAACCCTGATTTCCCTGGGGACCCCTGGCTGGCTTTCCCCACCCGGCCAGCCTGAGGGCCCCCTCTCCCTGCCGCTGCCTCTCATTCCCGCCGGAAGTGGGGAGGCAAAGCTGATCTTCAGCTGTAGTAAAGGAGAAGGAATGGAGGGGAGATGGTGTGTCTGTCAAAATGTGGAAACCCAGGGACCAGGAGATTGAAATCTAACAGGCCCCTCTGCTCCACTCATTGCATTTCTTGAAGCTCCCCAAATAAACCATGATGCCTCTCATCTCGGGCCCTTACATGCTGTGCTCCCTCTGCTGAGAAGGTCCCTTCTTTCTTCACCCACCAGCTCCTCATTTTCTAGAGTGGGTTTAGCCTCGGCTGCCCTCCCTGCGAGAAGTCTTTCTGGGCTTCCCCACATCACAGGACCACACAGAGACGTCCTCATCGTAGCTGCCATGTCCCCAGTGCACCCCTCACGTAAGCATAGAGGCTGTAACCGAGTATGCTATTCCCAATGCCCAGACGGCACGAGTGTCGGTTCGTGGCTATCAGGTGAATGGATGAATCTATGAATGACTGACTCAGCATCACGACCTTGCTGTCTGCTACATGTCAGGCCCTGGTCGTCATGGGTTTGGGGCTGAAAGCTGTTAGATTAAAGAGGAAATGGCGATGCCTTCATTGCTTGGTATTACTAGTGCCCTCGGCATGTAAACTCTGTGACAATTCCAGAGTTTTCACCCCACCTGAGACCACCAGCAGAGGACTGAATCCCCAGTGTACATGGAGATAGGTTCCCACACACCCTCCCAGCCTCCTCAGCCAGCTGTCCTAAGACCTGCTCCCTTGGGTCACAGTCCCCAGAGCACTGGGTGTGCCTGGCTGGAAGGAGGTGAAGGGTCCTGAGCTCAGTGTCGGGACATGCCAGCCCTCCTTGCCTTGCTTTGTGTGACTTGGGACAATCACTCAAACCCCTTCCAGCTTCAGTTTCCTTGTCAGTCAAGTGAGAATGTAACCCTTGCTACTGGGGTCACGGTGGAGAATAATGAAGTAATGGATGTGAAAGTGTTCTGTATGCCATTAAAAAGGCTGAGCGCAGCTTGTCATCGAGGCTTTTATAAGTACAGAAGGAGCACAGAAGCCAGCTCGAGTGCAGGCTCTTCCCTGAGCCCCCAGAGCCTGGCTCCGGTGACACATTCTGTGCTGGTTTCCTCACAGCCATTCTCAAGGGCCGCCGATGACGCCCTTGGTTTCTCTTTCTGTCAGAAGAAGGTTTCTGTCACTTTATTCTCCTCCTGGGAGGCCCCAGTCATGTTTCCTCCCTGACTTTTCAGCTTGAACAGCAGCTCCCCATAGAGATCTCGAGGCTCCTTCAAACCTCTTAGGCTGCAGACCACTTTGGGGGAGACCATTGGGATGGATTCGAGTTGATCTGCCCAGGACACAGACATGAAACATCTCCTAGATGTCATATGGTTTTGTTGTTTCGTTTTAAATCCCCTAACCCATGGAGAACCCCTGGCTTAAACAGATCAGCCAGTGCAACATGTGGATCTGTCACTTCTCATGCCTAATTGTCATCTTTGGCCACGAGGATCTTGCCAGGTTCCAGCTGCCTCCAGCTTGGGCTCTGGCCGCGAGGAGCCCGATGCCTGTCCCACGTCTCTTTTCTGTTTAGAGCCTCCATTTCCACACCCTTGTTTCCCAGGAGGAAACAAGCCGGGGAAGGGAATGGCCGCTCCAAAGTGGGCATCTCCAAGATTTCAGAGCAGATCTTTTTGCCTCAACCCAGCTCCTTTCAGAGTGCCAAGCTACCCTTGTCTCCGCCGAGGAGCGTGGTCCAGGACTGAGCTGTCAGAAACCCTGCTGGACCCTGGGGGTCTGCTTTAGACAGGGCAGTGGTAGCCCTGCTAGGGGTCAGCTGTGTGGGATGACCTTGGGCCGTGGTCAAGGGTGGGCAGGGTTCCCCAATATGAGGGGAGTGTGACAGAGGGCCTCTTGTGGCCCTGGCCACAACACCTGCAGTCCATTCTGCCACCCCCACAACACCCTCTCTCATACACTGGTTGGCCCTTGGAATGAAGGATGCATTTGAGGGGTGCATTCCCCACCTCTGTGGCCTCTCATCTCCCCGACAGTGATGGAGGCCCCAGGCAGGGCTCCTGGCACTTCCATTTGGCTGGTGATGGATGGTCATCCGGTTCTGTTTCTCACGGCCTCTGCGGAAGCCCCACCCTGTCCTGTGCCCTCTTGGTAGAGTTGCTGGCTGTCCTCAGGCTGGCAGAGCGGCCTCAGAAAGTCTCCATCCGTGGTGACGTGATTCAGTTGGCTCTGGCTATGGATCGCGGCTTAGACAGTTATAAACTATGGATGAATCTAAGCTCCAGCCTCGTGTCTTCCACATGCTCGTCACTCTGGGAACATGCGTGTGTTACCCAAGATGACTCAGCACGGCTTCACTGAGATGGTGCAGGCTGGCACGACATGAGAGCTGCCCACATGGTGGCTCTGAACCAAGAGGAAGTGTGGCCTTCCTGAGGACAAGGGCCAGTGCGGGCGGTCTCCGGAAAAATAATGACAGCTACCACTTACTGTAGTACCACATGTATAGGCACTACCTAGGTACTGTAGCTCATACGTGGATTGTTTCAATGAACCGTCTCAGCAGCCTGGAGAAGCAGCTGCTGTTATCATCAACACCCCCACTTTACTGGTGGGGAAATTGGAACTCTGAAGGGGTAGCATGGCACAGCAAGTCAGCGGTACACCTGCGATGAGCACAGGAACTCTGATTTTAGAACACGGCCTTTTAACACCAAGTTATCCTAAAACCCATAGGAGCCTCCAGGTCTTAAGGCTTCAGATGGCCTGCAGGGTCTCTTGTGGTTCAACATTGGCCCCTTTAGTTTCTCATTCATCAAGTGCTTACATGTGCCAGGAACAGAGCAAAGCAAGATGCACATTTCCTCACTGAACCATGATCACAACACTATGCCTGGAAAGGAGGCATCGTTATCTTGATTTTATGTAGGAGGAATTTGAGGTTCAGAGACGTTAAGTAACCAGCCCCAAGTCTCACAGGCAAGAAGTAACAGAGATCAGAGCCAGGCTTTTCTGACTCCAAAGCCTATGCTCTTACCTATACCTCTGATACCACCTTCTCTGTTCCTTCATTCCAAGTCTGTCTTTTGAGCACCTACTCTGTGCTAGGTCCTGGCAAACAAACAAATATACCGCAGATGTGGTCCTCCCCACCCTCATGGAGTTTACAATGAGTCGAGATTCATAATTCAAGAAATGAAATTCATGAGATGAAATGCAAAAGATTTATGAGGAGAAATTAAAGAATGAACCTGGTAACTCATTGATGGGGAAAGCAGGCCTCCCCAGAGAAAGGGGGTCTGCAAACCTCCTTGCCGTTTCTTCCTCCTGGAGCAGAGTTTTCCCAAACATGGGGACCAAGGGGTGACTTGAATGTGTGAGTGTGAGTCACCTGAAGGAAAGTGCCAGGCTGTGGTGCCAACGTCATAACAATGACACGTCTGCCAACTCGCCGTCTCCAGCCTGAAATGATTTCCTTCTGCTTAATAGGGTCACCACTGGTCATTCGGAGGGGATTTCCCCGGACCTGGCCACATTTCCCCTGACCTTGTCCAGATGTCTCCTGGGGCTTCCCCTAATCGAGGCCTTTCCCAGGGTAGGTTTGGGTTCATCTAACCTCATTGCATTTGCCTACAGACATGTTTGTCAGTAATTCCTGAGCATCAATTTCCAACACTTTGCATAGGATGGGAGAGTTAAAGCAAAGGCGCAAACTGCCGTGCTGCCTACTGGTGAGCGTTTCCAGACTTTCCTAACCCATCTGCCTACAGGCGCATCTGCTTCCAGTTCTCGTTTCTAATAAATATTTACTAAATTTACATACTTCATGGGCGATTCAGCTCACTTATCTCTTTTAAATACATTCATCTCTTTCTGCTGTTCTCTTGTCTAATTTAGCGTGCCTTTGTTATAAAATATTTTAAAAATTCGACTCAAATAAATGGGCCAAAAAATATCCCTTAAACTACTCAGAAGGAAGCACCCAGGAAGAAAGGTTGCCACGAAAGGTCAACGATAGGCTGAAATTTGCCCTATCGTATGTGAAAATGCTGTAAAATCATTTGATCATAGGAAAGTGTTTGAAAAATTGATCATTAAGTGATGTGGTCGTCAGGTTACATGATCATTGGGCTCACTGTCCCTGGGCTAAGGGTCAGTGGGACACTGTGGGCTTTGGCGTCAGAGCGGCGGGGAGAGGATGGATACTCAGTTAAACCCCATCCCCAGACCCCATTTTCTGCAGGCCTCTGAGCCAGGGTTTCTGAAGAAGCTAAAGTTACTCCCTCTCGGCCCTTCTCAAGACAAGTCTTCTCTCCCTCCCAGCAGGCTGAGGCAGTGGTCTCAGGCTTCCCTAAGGACGCCAGCATCTATCAGGGGTGAGATCCTGGAAGCGCCACACGGCCAGGTCCAGGTGGAAAGACGAGTGGTTCTTCTTATTTTTTGAGGTCGTGAATCTTTTTGAAAACCTTCCAGAAGCTGTGATGTCTCTCCCCAGAAACATGCACATGTACACAAGATACACATACACACATAAAACACAACACGCATGTGTAGGCACACACACGCAGGCCCTGACATAATATTTCGCACATAATTTTAGGTGAATTTTGGATCACGCGAGTCCAGGCCAGGTTAGAAGCCCTTGGATCTGCCCCGTTCTGAGACACGGGAGACCTGGGCCCAAGTGTGCCCAGCTTTTGACCTGCACTGTGACCTCAAGCTTGTCTGAGCATCAGAGAGGGGAAGGGAGGGTTGAGGAGGGGATGAAGAGAAGAGAGGGGAGGACAGTGGAGGCAACACTGGGGAAGTGGAGCGAGAGAGAGGCAGGGAGACAGGACAGAGGCAAGGAGCATTCAGACGGGTAAGAAAAGAGACAAAAATGGTGGGAAGGGGCCACTGTAAGGTTCAGTGGGCTAGACCCGGCTACAGCCAGGACTTATCTCTCTTGGGGGACTTGGGGCAAACGTCATCCTGGGCCTCAGCGTCTTCCTCCTAAGCACCAGGGAAGGAAGCCATGTCCTCGTCCAGCTGGCAGGCTCAGAGGGAGCCACTTAGCTTAATGCCTCCCCAGTCCAGAGCCCCAGCCTGGCTTCCTGTCTTGGCTTCAGAGATGAGCCCATTCACAGTGGATGAGCCCTGGGGGCCGAGGTGCGGTCGGGGGGGGCGG